TCACATCTAATTGAAGAAAGACTTCCTTCCATTTCTTCTTCCAGTTGTGGGGATGTGTCAGTAGCTTCAAGGGTGTCTCATTACATGAAAGAAACAGCACATCGATGACGACTGCAGGCGCGTGACCGCGATGCTGTTGTCCTCGATTCCCACTGCTCGCGAATATCTCATCTTAGCAGTTTGTAACACGTTCCCAGTGCTCAGCGTATCTTGGTGGCATTTTACACTATAATAACTATAGTATAAATATAATATAATAAATACAACATAATGAAAGTTTTTTATACTTTTCCAAATAGTGTCAAGCCCGGGGTGCCACTGGCCAAAGCTCTCTTGGACCTGTTTCTAACTCCCTGTTTCTTCCCAAGAGCTCAGGGAAGAAAGGTCTTTCTTACAGAAACTTCCAGGTAGGACTCAGTTTCATAGGGGTGAGTCCTGGCTGCTTGCTCTCAGAAAGGCCTGCGCACAAGGCTGGCCCTGCGGGCTTCTGAGAACTTAGGACGCGAGGGTTCCCACCGCCCCGCCTGGCAGGCGCGGCTCGCTGGCCTGCTCTGTATGCAGGCCGCGGCTTCCGTGGAACACCACTGTCCTCCTGGGAGCCGGGCTTTGGGGCCGTGCCAGGCGAGGGCTGCTGTGTGGCCAGCTCCCAGCCCAAGCCTGTGTCTGTGACGAGCATTCCTGTTGGGCAGCGCGTCCACCTGTCGGGGCAGTTAGGTCCCCACTGTGCGTCTGCCCGGACGCCCGCACCTGGTTCCCCCGGCTTCCCCCATGGGCTGTGCCCTCCGCAGGTTTTTCTCTGTGTCCTTTTATTCATAGTAAGTTACACCCACCAGTATGACACATGTGAGTCCTGTGAACAAATCCTCCATCCGGGGCAGCCTTGGGGACCTCCTGACACACTCGTTCTCTACAAAACTTTTTTGGGGGGTTTTGAGAACATAGATGTTTATAGAAAAAGACAGAAATTTTCCTCCATCTGTAGGGAATCCCCTTTTCAACGTCACCCCAGTTGTGACCTGTGACTTGAAAGCCACATAGAGCCGTGGACTGGTTTTCACAGAGAAAGGACAAGCCCCCTCCTCGTCCCACATTATTAAGGGCCGTTTATATGATTGTCCAAGGGTTTCCTGATTCATATCTCACCTGACAAAGATGGGAGACAGATTTCTCTAAAGGACAGAGGAAAAGGCACCCATACGATGCGCCCTCCTTCTTTATGTTACTGCAACCCTGCTCCTGTGTGTTCTCTGGGTCTCTGTGTCCTGCAGGCTTCGCGCCCATAAGTGGAATGTGTAGTAAATATCGCAGCTGCACGATTAATGAAGATACAGGTCTTGGACTGGCTTTCACCATCGCCCACGAGTCTGGACACAAGTAAGTGCATCTCCCCGGGACAGGGGAGCCCGGGGTCCTTTCCAGAACAGATGAGGGTCGTAGAGATGCTGATGCAGTCGGTCAGGTCTGTAGGGGGCTCACCCGGATGCAGCAGGAGGTTGGGGGCAGCTAGAAGTGCTCACCTGGGTACTTGCTCCGTTCCGAGGGGCCGTGCACGTGTCCGCACTGTCCGGCCTCTCCTTCCTTCCTGCTGGCACAGCCTGCTCTGCCCGTCTCTGCTCCTTGGTCCTGTGTTTTAAACTTGGTCCTGTGGGGTGGGCTTTCTCCTGCAGGGGGACCCCATGTGACTGAGGATGGTGACGAGCCCTCCCCTGGTAACATGTTTCTCCCCAGATTGTTCTCAAAGCCTCTCATACTTTGTGGAGGTGGGTTTTGATGGGTATGCAGGGTTTGGGACATGCAGGAACAAGACTGAGGGCCTGGTAGGAGCTGGTTTGCAGCCAGCATCCCCGCGTGGTCCGTTTGAAATGGGGCAGGGTTGGGGTGAGTGGGGAGCCCAGGGCCTGGGCACTGACGGACGCTGGTGCGGGACACGAAGCTCTCGGCAGCCGATGGCTTGTCATTAGCAGGGCCTTTTTTTTATTGAAGTGCAGTCAGTTTACAATGCTGTGTCAGCTCCTGGTGTGCTCACAGTGCTTCAGTCATACACGAACGTAGGTATACTCGTTTTCAGATTCTCTTCCACTGCAGGTGACTACGAGACACTGAATATAGCCCCCCCGTGCTGTGCAGTAGGACCTGTTGCTTCTCTCCTCTGCACACAGGAGACAGCACCGGCATGTGCCGGAGGGCGAGCAGTGCCTCTGTGAGCGAGACGCTTACCTCCCTCCCAAGGAGGACGCGCCCCTGCCGGGTGCGTGGTCGCTGCTGTTCTTGCAGGAAGTTCCTTTGTCTGGTGGTCCACACGCCGTCTCGCCTTGAGGGACCTCCTATTTCTAAAAGGTTTCTTTCTGACCCATTTGGCCCTCCGGCCGACTCCTGCCATCGCCCTGGGGAGTGTGAGCCCAGCGGTGGAGATGCAGGTGTTCTGCTGGATGGCAACGTGTCCAGGTTTCTCCTTGAAACTTCACAGCCAGGAATGACAGTTTTTCCATTTTTGGTTTCATCCTCATTTTATTTGCAAATCACAGAACTTACAAAATTCAGGATATGTGAGTTGGTTTTTGCAAAGCCCCCTTCTCCATCCCATAGAAATGTGACTGCGGTCACTCATACCACCAGCCTGTTCAAAGCATCTGTGTGTGCAGTGTGTGTGTGTGTGTGTGTGTGCACATGCATGTGTGCGTGTGTATACAGTGTGTGTGTACAATGTGTGTGTATACAGTATGTGTATGCGTGTGTGTGCAGTGTGAGCGTGTGTATGCATAAAGTGTGTGTGCAGTGTGTGTG